AGTTTTATAAAACGATCTTCGAGTTTTTATAAAACGATCTTCGAGTTTTATAAAACGATCTTCGAGTTTTTATAAAACGATCTTCGAGTTTTATAAAACGATCTTCGAGTTTTTATAAAACGATCTTCGAGCTTTATAAAACGATCTCTCGAGTTTTATAAAACGATCTTCGAGTTTTATAAAACAATCTCTCGAGTCTGATAAAACGATCTTCGAGTTTTATAAAACGATCTCTCGAGTTTTATAAAACGATCTCTCGAGTTTTATAAAACGATCTCTCGAGTTTTATAAAACGATCTTCGAGTTTTATAAAATGATTCTCGAGATTCATAAAACTGTTGCGTTTACGCGTTTGCGGGGAATTTTGGCTATTGATTCCGTCGTACCGATTTTGACCCCAACATTTGTGATGTGCCACTGAACGATCCGCTCAAGCGGATATTAGTTACAGATCATTCAGGAAAAACAGATAAGGGTTATAACTCATAACAATAGAGTACCGAATTGGTTATAAAATTTTGAAAATAAACCTATAAAAGCATTTTCTGTATCAGAAAAGCAAATTCGGACTTTAATCTCAAATGGAACACAACCCTCATTCTCTTTTCTCTTACAACCCATTTTATTGGACCAAGATCTATAATGAGACAAATGGGTTCAAAAAAATCTACAACAACCAAAACTAATCTATCATGGACCAAGGATTTCAAAATTACCCTTTTGCCATTAATGAAAGTTGAATGTGAACCATTAGATCAGATAATGCGAGATGTAATCTGCTCCGTCGGATGATAAGAGAAAACTGGGTACAACTAGTATAACTTGTATAACTAAACATGTTAAAAATTGATATAACTAGTATAACTGATATATAAATGTTATAATTCACGTACAATATGCAACTACTATAATTGAAACGACTAATAATCATATTTTACATATGAAATAAACAAATATATATCCTAATTGGTATATGATGACAAAATGTCATCTATTTTAATTGAAGTTTTAATTTTTTTGTTAAATTATTACGTTACACTCTTAATTTTACATTATATATATATATATATATTATATTTAAGGTCTGTTAAGTAAATTAGCTATTTTTTTTTGTCAAACTTAAATTAGCTATATTATTATGAAAATATTGGTACAACTTCTAAAATTAAACATATAAACAATTGATATAATTGTTATAGTTTTTTATTATATATTAGATGAGTATTATTGGTACAACTGGTACAACTTGGACATTTCAAAATATTGGCAAACCAATTTGGTATTCCATATGAGAACACTATTAAATATCCAAAATGGTATGTAGTCAGGTTTTTTTTTCCTAATATATTTGAAGTTTTGAAAAAAAAATTAAAAGTTATTACACAACTCCATAAGTTTATATGATATACCTTATACTTTTAAGGTTTGTTAACTTCTTTGTCCACATATTTTTGGGAAAACATATATGAAATGCATTTTAACAAAATCGATGATCTCATTGTATTGGACGAAGACATATATACACATAAAAAGGTGGTACAACTGAGGTAAGTTTAAATTTCATGTGGTTCAACTAGTTTTTTTTTATTTCACTGTCAAAGTACAACTATGTACAAACCGGTATAACTCAAAAACTAGTACAACTATTTACAAACTGGTACAACTCAAAAACTAGTACAACTATGTACAAACCGATACAACTCAAAAATTCTTACAACTATTATATTGTTACATTAGTTTTACATTACATACCTTATATTTAAAGGTTTGTTAATTAGATTAGCTATATTTTTTTATTTTTTTTGTAATTATAACAAAATCATATAAGTTTGCATAATTTACCTTATGCTTTTAAGGTTTGTCAACTTCTTTGTCCACATAACTTTTGGAAAACATACATGAAATGTATTTTAATAAAACTGGTGATTTCATTGTATTAGGGCATATGCATGTACACATCAAGAAGTGGTACAACTGAAGTAAGTTTAAATTTTATGTGGTACAACTAATTTTTTTGATTTCACTGCCGAAATACAACTATGTACAAATCGGTTTAACTCAAAAACTAGTACAACTATGTACAAACTAGTACAACTATAATATTAGTACAACTATGTTATTTCTTTTTGTATTGTGCATCATGTTTTAATGTGTATCATGTTTTAATCATTATAGTTGAATATTAAGATGAGTAGTTTTACTAGTTGTCTCTTCCTCATTTCCAACTGCCCCCTCATTTTCAATTGCATCATTCTCAAGCTTTTTGTTTCAGTTACAATCCTCCTTAGTTGATTCCTCAACCGATATGGCATCACTCATGTCCTATATCATCTACAACAAAACATAGTAACCATGCAAATCATGTAAACATAAATAAGTGGTATCACTAAGGTAACTGTATAATTATATGATACAATACAATTAGTATAATTACTGTCTTCTTCGACTTCGAGATTAAAGATGATTTAAAAAATAGTAAATTAGTACTAGTAGTATAACTAGTCAAACAAATAACTATTTAAACCAATTCTTCTCTGACTCATGAAAATATTTGATCGTGTCCTGAAAATGGTAGAGGTTGCACCTTGAGGAGAGGTTGCAACCCTTCTCATATGCACTCGGCTTGAAGAAAAAGCCAACAAGTCTGTCAGCTTCTACAGCCGTAGGACCAGCTGTGTCGTCTCCTCAACCTGAAAACACAAATAAAATACACTGAATAACCGACTTATATCACACAAAATCCCTTAGTTTTACAAGTTATACTAATTATACAATACTTAGTTGTATTAGGTAAACTAGTTATACATTTGATAGTTGTACCAGTTATATGACTTATAAAAAGCGGGGTTTTACTAGTTATACTGATTTTGTTTTACAACATTTTATTACCAGTTGAACTATTTTCATTCTTTTAGTTGTACTAGTTACACTTCTTATATAATTACTACTTATTTGTTAATTCAACCCTATAGTAAATATTTCTAAAACCATTTCAAATCGACTTGTTTACCATTCTTGGCGCGTCATTGTCAATGGCAGCAGCTTCAGGTGGGTTTGAATCTCTGTTGTTAGATCCAATCTGTTCACGGTTCCTATTTGTTAGTTCAATCTTATCATAAAAAAATCCAAAACCATTTTAAATTGATTTGTTTACCGTTTTTGTGTGTCATTGTTAATGGCAGCTTCAGGTGAGCATGACTCTCTGTTGGTAGAAATTAATGGAGCTTGCGGTGAATTCTCTGTCTCACTGGGTGTTTGAATCGGTGACTTTTGTAGCTCAATCGGAAGTGATGGGCTTGGCGTACCCTCTCCATCATCCTGAGAAGGCAATTCTTCTGATAGTGTCGGGGAATGATCGGGATCGGCTTGATGTTCTGCTGATAGTTTCACATCATCCTCTTGTCTAAATATTCATATGCTAAAAAAAAAAAAACAAATTTCACCATTTAATTGTAATATTGGTAACAAATATTTAGTTTTTAAAATTTATATATTCTAGTTGTATCAGTTATACTAATTATAAGCATTCTAGTTGTACCAATTATACTAGTTATACACACTCTAGTTTTACCAGTTATATTCGTTTGAGTTATACTAGTTGTACTAGTAATACTCTGCGTTCTTCATTGTCGTGAATATCATACATTGATGATAGGTTTGGTTTAAAAACATAGTAAATTGATTGAAGAGGATGGTGGGTCGATGGATTTGACCAGAAATGATTAAGATTGATATATTTGAGATAAGAATGATTACTAGTTTCAATTTTTTTTTAGTTTCAATTTTGGATAAGAAAGCATCAATGGAGAATAAAAAGAGAGATTGGTAATTGATTAAGAGAATGATGATTGTTGATGTAGAAGATACAAACTGGGAAATAGAATCGAGATTGTTTAGAAAAAAAAAATTGAGATGAAAAATTTGCAAAAAAACTGAACCATCAATGGTTGAAAAGGGGGAAGAACAAAAAATTAGGGTTTTGGGAAAAGATCCGACCCGGATCCAAGTGATGCTATCTGGGTCGAATTATATCTGATTGGGTTGGTAATTTTATCAACTTTTGTAAGGATAATGGTCATTTCTTTACTTTTTCTATTTTTTTTAAATCACAAATTAATTGAAAAAGGAAGGGGTCTATTATAGATTTTTTTGACTCCACTTGGTCTATTCCAGCATTTGATCCCATTTTATTCTACATGACCCAAGGGACTTGAAATTACAACAATGCCATTAATGAGTGAATAACACACACCATTAGATCAAAAACCCTCAAAGCTTTGTAAGCCACACGATTTGGGCCTCCTCTCTCCTCTCTTTTACGTACAATATCTTCCTCCTCCCCTTCAATGCACGACAACAATCTCTTTCTTCAATTCTTCTCTTCAATTCTTCACCAAACAACTTCTTCTTCATCAAATTTTATTTGTCTTCAGATTGTCTTTCAGAGATTAGAGAAGGAGTATCATAACCATATACTATAACTCGTGTTCTTCCTCCATAGATGAACTTGGGTAATGCTCTCTCTCTCTCTCTCTCTCTCTCTCTCTCTCTCTCTCTCTCTCTCTCTCTCTCTCTCTC